ACTTTAATTGAATTTAAATGCCTAATAATATTAAATAATGTATAACAATGTATAATTATATATGCAAATATATATACTCTGATCTGTGTATATATAATTTCGTATTCTAAGGAGTATAATTTAATAATATATTAATTTAATTTAATTATTAAATTAAAACATATTACTAATTTTTATGAACTACTGATAAATTCCAATAATTGTTCTAAAGCTAAATCATTTTTATTTCTTTATGGTAGTTATAAGAGGTCAAAACATAGTTTCACAGACCGCTCAATAAAACATAAATTTTATTTTACTTTTAAAAATTTTATTTACTATAATAATTTAATAATAATATAATAACTTGTACATATTACTATATATATGTTAGTATATACAGTTGAAAACTTGTTTAAAATTTTTTTCTTATTCTGGAAAATAAAAGAGGCTCCGCTAAGCTAATGTCACCTACTTCCTGAATTATAGTTTTCTTGTTGTATTTACAATATACATCGAAAAGCGCAGACTACATTCAAACTAACATTGTCAATGTGGGCTTCAATAAGGGTTTAACTCTTTGGTATTTTATGCTATTGCAGATTGTTCTAATATTATCACTTTTCAATTTTACATCAGTTCTATTAATTGAATTAGTTGATATTTTTTCCAAGAAAAATAAAAATGCAATATTCAATTAACTTATAAACATTTTCTAAAAACGAATTTTCTACTTATTTTCTTATTAAGGAAAATTAAACTCATAACCCTGTTTTAAAATAAGTATGATTGCTTGGGACAAGAAGATGTATTTTGAACTCAACTTAGATTAATGACTAGCTATTAGTTTAATACCAACTAATCGTGAATACGATCACCGATTCGTATTAATTGTTCATTTAATTTATCGTTATAATTATTATCCAGAAATTACAGTCTAGTAAGGATATAGACGGGCCGAACAATCTTCCTGCAGTCAGCACTATTCCTTGCTGCGGTTGCCCATCTGCAAAGTTCTCAAATTATTTTTAATTTAGTCGTTTCAAATTTTAACCATTTATTTTTACATTTCTCTAGAACTTCAGATTCGAATATATTTTATAATTTTGTTTCGATAGACATTCTGTTTACATGCCTCAACAATCATAGTCTTTATTTCTTTGTGCAACACATTATTTATTATTTCCAATAACTTGATTTAACCTATAATTAAATTTTCTTTAAATACTTTTTATTGAATCACTTTCCTCTCCATTTTATAGTTTCCTTTCCTATTATTCATCATATACCATATGTGACTACCGTTCGCAGTAATGCTTTATATTATATATCCTAGATATACAATGGTGCTAAAGGGTAAGTATTTTCTTATGACAGCAATAGTTAGAGTGTAAGCATTCCTATATATTAAAATTACCTTGGTACATCCGCACAAACGACATGCTAAGAGACCTTCAGGGACAGAGCCCTGAAGTTATATGCGAAAACTGACAGGCTATCCTACTTAGCACTATTTAATCTTAGAGTGATCACTCTCCGCACGGGGAGGTACGCAGATCTTAGATCAATCACCGAATAATCATGAAGCTTATAAGGAATACATAAATTAATCAAAGAGATGGGTGGGACCCTGTAGTACCACCAGCTATCAAAGAGTAAAAGTGCCCAGTTACGCTGACTCGAAAAAAGGATCAACATACATACTAGTATTAGAGGTATACCAACCATTAACAAAAACTGTAAATATATTAGAGCTAGAACCGATAATGTTTCTGACTAGTTAGTTGGATATTATGTAGGAATATCGTAGTTAGTTTATTTTGTACTAAAAATTTTAATTACAATTATAAATTAATAAATGCATTCGAAATTACTTAAATTAAAAAATAGAAATAAAATATATCTATTACTTCTTAATGAAATAGGTCACATTTAGCTTAAAGCAAGTTACTTAATATTATAATTAATAGTTTATCATGCACATATCGATTAGCAAACTGTTTTATATGACAGTCGGATTCAATCCCGTGATTCATAATGTATCACTTTTGATCGCAATCTGAAAGGTTTGCGTTATTTATGCATCGCCTGAGCGTAGAGAAGATACATTTTTAAATGACCTAAAGCATAAAATGTAAACATATTTTTATCTTTGCTTTAAAATTAATATATTTAATTTAATAAATATTTTGTTAACTAATTGCAAATTTTTATATATTCAAGGCTATGCTTTTGACGATCATCATTAATTTTTGGCGGCATACCGCACTAATAAAAGACATTGTTGCAAATGATAATGACAAACCATTAATGTCGGCTATTTGATGTTTTTAAGTCATTTTCATTTGTAATATAGTTTGTTGATTCATTTATGATTAAAAGAAAATAATAATAATAAAATTGCAAAAAAAACCTCGTATAACAAAAATGTTATAAATTTTTATTTCGAAATTGGAATTTCTTTCAAAATTGCTCATAAAAATTATAGTAAATAATTATTCATCTTTTTCACTGTAATTTGATTACTAATAATATTAGTGTGATATAATGTATATATAAAAAATATTTAATTATTACTTAAAACATATATCGAAGTTATCTCTAATAATACAAGCACATTAGCTTCTGTTTAAGCATATATGCTTAGGGCTGATTTCACAGTTGTATTTAAAACTAAAAACTTACTTTAGTATGTTTTGAATCAGCAAAATTGCTGGCTTAAGTCAGTATTGACACTTAAGTTAGAAATATGAATATGAAATCGGTCTTTAAAAACTTATTTAAGTATTATTTAAATCAGCAAAGTTGCTGACTTAAGTCAGTATTGAGACTTAAGTTACAAATACGATTATGAAATCGGCATATAAAAACTTATTTAACTATAATTTAAATCAAGAAAGTTGATGTCTGAAGTCAGAATTGAGACTTATAGCACATTAGCATTGTCTCATATAGGCGGTTTTGGTTATTAATGCCATTAATGAGGATCATTTACCTTCACAAAGTGCTCATATAAAGGTGCATCCACACCAAAGCGAACGCTTGCCAACGAACGAACTTTTGCTGCTACGATTACCTTAAATGAGCTCATCAATAAATCAGTTAATTTAAGAAGAAAAATGTCGAATGCAACCCTTAAAAATGAATTTCCCACAAGGGAAATTACCAAAATTTGAAATCTGTGTCAAATGTTTTGTATGTGAAATGGAAACAAACAACAGCTGAGCTGTAACTAAAAGCACTAAAGAAGTAAGTATTTAATAATAATTAAATAATAATTAAAAAATTAATATATTAAATGTATATAAATAATTTAATATATCAAATTTATATTTTATTATTTTGTGTGATATGTTATTAAGTGAAGTTACCTGCATAAATGAGCTCATTACAATGTGAACATGCACTCATTAATATAAATGAGCAAGTACCTTAATGAGACAGTGTGAATGTACTCTTAAGTAATGAGTATGAAATCGGGATATAGTCTTTAAATTGTTGGTAGCTATCAAATGTCCGTGTAGAGAAGATAATCAGAACTCTATTCAAATGACATTTATTTTCCGAAATATTTAGAGAAATTACTTATTAGGTTTTCACATTTTTTAAAGAGATATATAGATATAGATTACATTTTTTTACTAGTAAATTAACTTTTCTCTTTTTTTAATTTTTTGATGTACAACACTTTATTCCTATGAAATCATTAACTTATTTTTTATGACTGAAATTAGTATATATTGCAGACCGCCTGCAGTATGTAACTGCAGGCTCTATAAATCGTTGCAAAAATATACCTTAAGATATTAAAAAAAAATTTTTAAGTTTTGTATAATTATGACATCAAACATTTTTATTATTATTTTTTACTGCATCACCATTTGAGTTTATTTTAATTACTACAACATGAGTGCAAACTTTTACTCTTTTCATAATTCATTTTTTACGTGTAATATTTTGTTCACTTATTCAATTTCAGTATCGTCAGACAGTGGTTCACAATCTTTTTGAACTCGTCAAACACTTATCTTTTATCTTTTGTTGTGGAGATTGTTTGCAATCATTAATGTATTAGATTAGGTTCAAACTACAATAGTGATGAGAATACTTGATTTATAGTCCCGTAGGTGTTGGTAACGAATATTCGACTTCATTATTTCGCAAAAATAGATAAAAATTCTCCGACTGGCAACGTTTTTGATTAGATACGCGGTAGTTTAAAACATGGTAACGGGAGGCCTCTGCTTCAATTAAAGAACAGCTGACATATGATCTGAAAGCACTCGGTTCTAACTAGCGACATCAAACCGCTGGTCGTACTGATTGTCATATGCTACCAGTAGCTGTCAAGCGCGATATATATTTGTACTCAGTAGTTTAAAACATGGTAAGGGAAGACTGCTTCTTTTATTAAAGAACTAACGAACAAATAATCTGAGCGCAATAGTTTCCACCAATTAGCGACATTAAACCGCTGGTCGTACTGATTGTCAGTTGCTACCATTAGCTGCTAAGTGCGATATACATTTGTAATGACCAACTAAGTAAATAAATATTTTATTTCTCTATGGAATACCTAAAATCACTTTATGATTTATCTACTAATATTTTGTGCTTCTTGGACTCTTAACCACTACTTCCAGATTCTTTTTCTTTAGACTGACTTTTTCTTTGATTGACGTTGTTACTCAAAATCAGTATAGCGCAGACCACGGATTGAGAACCACTGCCTTAAAATGTTAAATTCCTTTTTTTAGACAAACTTTTGCTGCGATTGGCATTGTTTGTAGAGAAAGAGTTATACCTAAAAATTAGACTGCTACTGCCATTGGAACTGCGGTTGCAGCTATAATTGCTTTTTTTTCAATTTTTTTTTTAACTGAAAGTGAATTTAAGTTGCCTTTAAATAGGTTTTGTTATTGTTTCATACGTTTTTCTTCTCAATTATGTAATAAAAACCACAAAGCCATCATTCATCACGCATGCTCGTTGGATAGTATGGTATTTTTGTTAATATCCATTCATCTTTTTGATTGAAGTCTGAAATTGAAATTGCCATTCTCTGTTGGCAATAGATTATCATTAATATCAACGGCATTATTATGAATAACAATGCCACCAGCTAAGAAGTAAAATGATCTATCCAAGCTAAAAAGATTTTTAAAAATTTTATAGAGTGAATATGGGATACATGACTTTGATGGAATAAGTGATTGATGGTTAATCTTTAAAGCATCTTAATCTTTTGATATAAGAAGGAAGAA